ACAGTGCTTTGAGACAGTAGAATTAAAACTGGACACTGAGAGCTCAACACTCTGTAATAAGAATTTACAGTTTTGGGGCTGGAGCAGTAGCACAGCGGGTAGGGCGTTTGCCTTGCACGTGGCCGACCCGGGTTTGATTCCCAGCATCCCATATGGTCCCCTGAGCACTGCCAGGGGTAATTCCTGAGTGCAGAGCCAGGAATAACCCCTGTGCATGACCGGGCGTAAAGCAAAAAATAAAAATAAAAGAATTTACTGTTTTGGGATAGGGTGCGGCAGGGTGATACCATTTCACCGAAACTCTTCAGTGCCACCCTCGAGAACATCATGCGATGACTGGAATGGGAAGGAATGGGAGTGAAGATAGATGGTCGGCAACTACACCACCTCCGCTTTGCTGATGACATTGTTTTAATAACACCAAACATCAGCCAAGCGGCACAAATGCTGGCAGACTTTGACCGTGAGTGTGGAAAGGTAGGACTACAGCTGAATCTTACGAAGACAATGTTTATGAGAAACAGCCTTGTTCCTGACGCCCCATTCGCTCTCAATGGAACGACCATCTCCGAATGCAATAGCTATGTGTACCTAGGTCGAGAGGTCAACAAGACAAATGACCTGGCACCCGAGCTGCGCAGGAGGAAGAGAGCGGCTTGGAACGCCTTCAAGAACGTCGAAGAAATAGCTAAGAGGACGAAGAACCTCCGGCTCCGGGCACATCTCTTTGATTCCACTGTTCTTCCTGCATTAACATATGCCTCAGAGACCTGGACCCTACGCAAACAAGATGAGAACGCCATTCAGGTCTCCCAAAGAAGAATAGAAAGAGCTATGCTTGGAATATCACGTTTCACTCAAATGAGAGAACGAATCTGGAGTTCTGACATCCGTCGACGATCAAGGATCAGGGACGCTGTCTCATTTGCCAAGGTGTCGAAAATCAGATGGGCTGGTCACGTAATGAGATTTAAAGACGACCGTTGGACTAGAGCTGTTACTGATTGGATTCCACGGGATGTCAAGAGACCGCGTGGCCGCCCACCTACCAGATGGTCAGACTTCTTCGTAAAGATCATGAACGATCGGTTTGAGGCCCTTCATGTTCCCGGAGCGAACAGATGCCATTGGGCTACACTAGCAAGTGACAGGGACAAATGGAGACATTACTGGCGCCCGCTCGAGCAAATCGCCGACTAACGGGAAGTGATTAAGTGATTAAGGGATAGGCTGGAAAAAATCTTCAAAGTCCCGAAGTAGGCAAGTACTATAGAATAATTCATAGATGAAAGATCTAATTAGATGGGGCGGGAGGAAGTAAAAAGGAAATGGGAAATGACAGAATCAATTAAATTTAATAGTTTACCTGGTGCCTCACGCCCCACCTCTACTGTAACAGTTCAGCACTCAGTACTTATTTTGGATAAGTTACTTAACTTTCTAAGTCTGTTTCCTCATATGTAATGGAATAACCATCACTTTCTTGCTTTGCTAAATAAGAAAGAAAATGAAATAACATACACAAAAGCAACTCAATAAATTGTAGCTTCTTAAAAAGAACACTGCTGTGTTTATTGTTGGTGCTATTTTGAATGTTATGCTTTAAAATAACCAATAAATTAGAGGTCTGGATTTGCACAAAAGATCACATGGAATAAATATTTGATAGGGGCTGGAGTGATAGCACAGCAGGTAGGGCATTTGCCTTGCATGCAGCCGACCCAGGTTCGGTTCTCAGCATTCCATATGGTCCCCCGAGCACAACCAGGAGTAATTCCTGAGTGCATGAGCCAGGAGTAACCTCTGTGCATTGCCAGGTGTGACCCAAAAAGCAAAAAAAAAAAAAAAGAATAAATATTTGATAATTTTTTCCGAAACCAAATTACTGCTACTGCTTAGTAGAAGTACCAAATTTAAAGACTTATTTATTAATTGTTTTTATGGGCACATAGTAATCAATACTTGATTATTATTCTCTCAGAAGTCAAATTATTGGCACTGCTTACTAGAAGTACTAAAAGAACTCTTACATAATTACTTATGGGCATGTCCTAAAACATTTTGTCCAAATAAACTATCCTAGGCATAAGCCTATAAATAGGCAGTTTAATTTTGTCTTTTCATATTAGACATATATTTACTTTTCCTATCCAGATAGCAAATAATTAAATATTTGCCTCTGGTATCTCAGGTACCATAGCTACAAGATGATCTCTTGATGTCATTTCATTTATTCCGAGTTTCAAATTATGGTAAAGAAAAGCCCCCAGATGTATAATTCTCCCTTGAATTCTAAAATTTCTCTGTAGGGGAATTCCTCAGGATTATTTCTATGTATCTTAGAACTTAATTTTCCTTTTGCTGAAAAGTTCAATATATTCACTATTATTTATGAGAAGCTAGCACATACCAAATGCTAAGCATGTGCCACTGATTTAAACATATTGCATGGATTATTTTGTATCTGGTATTACATCCTCTATGATGTTGAAATCTGAGGATAACTTGCACATGGTCATAAAACAACTAAGTGGCAGTGTTGGAGCCAATTGTGGGAGACTAGTTTTCTGCTTTTGACACTCTGCATCTTATTAAATTTCTTTATGAAGAGTGTCTCATATTTCTCCTACATCTTTCTCTCTTCAGGGATACCATAGCCATTTGACACTCAGAGGATCTTAGCAACATTATCAGAGACTCTCAGGAGCTTAGTGACAATAGTGACTGGTGCCTGAGTTTTTCTGTCTCTAGCCTCTGTCAGATCATCTCTGAATATGACTACCAGATTATTTTTCTTAAAATACTGATTTCAGGGCTAGAGCGATAGCACAGCGGGTAAGACGTTTGCCTTGCACTTGGCCAACCCAGGTTCGATTCCCAGCATCCCATATAGTCCCCCAAGCACCACCAGGAGTAATTCCTGAGTGCAGAGCCAGGAGTAACCCCTGTGCATTGCCAGGTGTGACCCAAAAAGCAAAAAAATAAATAAATAATACTGATTTCAGAACTGTGGAGATAGCACAAACCACTGGAGCCCAAACTTTGCATGTGAGAGACCCAGGTTGAACTCCAGTCACTGCACTGAGCACTGATGTAGGAGGAACTCTAAGCACCCCCAGGTGCAGTCCCAAAACAATACCCCATTGATTTCACCACTGGGTTACTATTCCGATCAGGACACTAATTTTTATTGTGTTGAAATATACATGTGATGTCATAAATTGAGTATATGAAATACTGGGTAAGGGACTGGAGAGATAGTATGGTGAGTAGGACGCTTGCCTTGTTCAATCCCCAGCACCTCATAACGGGAGCAATCTCTAAGCACAGAGACATGAATAATCCCTGAGCTCAGAATGTGGCCCCCAAACCAATCAAATGAAACTAAACAAAAATACAATTCCCTCTTCCCATTCTCATTGGTGGTACTGGGGGATAAATGAGTGACAGACACACACAAAGCAAATGTGCAGTGCTGAATGTTTACCCCTGTACTTTCTCTCTGGACACTATGTATACTAATTTTGAAATTTATGAATTTGCTGATTCAAGAAGTCCTATTTTGCAAGTCATATCTTTTTCATTTTGTATCTTCTCTCACCACAAGTTGACCACATTCTCTGATCAGATAAGATTTCTCTAACACTCCAGTTTTTCAACTACTGTGATTTTATCTCTACTCAATATCATACAGTTTAACATGTTTAACCATTGACTATTAGGGCTGTCTTGAAACTTATACATGTGCTAGTCTAATCTCGTTTTATAGGCTAGATAATTTAATAACTTGCTTGAAGTCATGCTGAGTCAGTGGCAGAGACAAGCACTCTACATATAATCAAAATATTTTAAAACTGTTTACCAATGGGGCTGGAGAGATAGTATAGTGGGTGATATACTTGCCTTGCATATAGTCAACCCAGGTTCAATCCCTGCCACACGATCTGGTCCCCCAAGCACTGCTAAGTGTGACTCTTGAGTGAAGAGTCGGGAATAACTCCTGACCATTGCCAGGTATGGCCTGAAAACCTAAATACATAAGTAAATAAAACTATTTATCAAGTTCTTACAATTTCTCAGAAACAGTATTGAGAATTTCTGTGTTCCCTGACAAATCCTCGGAAGTGTGTATCATTTCATCAACATTTTCTATTCTACAGATTAGGAAATCTCAATTAAGAAAGTAATTTGCTTTTTCTCTTCAAATTCTTCATTTAGAGATAGCTTAACTTACATTGCTAGTTAAATAGCAGTCATTGGTTTTTTCTATATATATATAAATACTTTTTCACATGTAGACAGAGGGTTCAGTCCCACGAGGGTGTCCTTTTGGAGCTTGGCCGAACCTAACAATTTAATGATGCTGCATTCACAACAGTAAATAAACATATGGATAACCTGGTGTGCCTTTGGGGAGGTATAAACTGCTATTTGGCTGGATTTGCATAGCTTTGGTGCTGTACTTTAAACACAAAGGACCTGAGTAATGATAACCCCACACAAATTCCTACTATCAGTGCTAAGATGTGCTGCTGTCACAGTGTTGGCCTCATTAACTGGCAGTTGCCCGGGCTGCGCGTTACCACGTGCAAAGCTGCACCTCCAAAGCTGGGTCTGAGCTCTGCCCCTTAAACTCCGCGGCGGGGCCACCTGACAGCTGTGCAGCGCCGAGCAGCAGCGTTGCAGCCTCCGGGACCAGTGGTCACTAATTCCTCTGTCGCAGGCTTTTTTGTTTGCTTTGGCTTGGCGTTGACATTCCTCGGCGAGCTGTCGCTGGAAAGGTGAAGCCTCCAGTTCTCTCGGGCTGCCGAGGTGAGACCCGGGGTTCAGCCCCACCCCAGTTCGGGGAACCGAGCTGGGGGCTGGCGGAACTCCCCGCCCCGCACAAAGATGGCGCCACGCCGCGAGCTGGACCAATAGGAAGTGGCGTTGCTCCCGGTCGCCAAGGTAACAGCCAATGGGCGGCTTGGACTGTGCTCGGTGCGGCTGCCCGGGGATGGCGGCATCAAGTGGGGCAGGCGCGGGTGGAGGAGGTGGGAGCGGCAGGTGGCGAGGGGGTGCCCCGGCGAGCCGCGGGCCGGGCCGCTGGACCCCCTGCGTCGGGGCGTGACCGTCTTCCCCAAAGGCCAAGTCCAGGTTGGCGGCGCGGCTGGGAGGGGGCGGGGAAAATGGGGTCGGTGAGGATGGGACTGAGTCCCGGAGATGACAGGAGCTGGCGGGGGGACGGGGAGGGGGGACGGGGAGGGGGGTGGTGCGCGGCTCCTTCCCAGATGCGCTGGCTGCAGGGCGGCTGTCGAGGGGGTCCCGAACCCGGCATCACCTTAGTCTGCCGCTCAGGCTGGGACCCGAGCGAGCCCAGCACCCGGGTGTGCACGGGGATCGCGTCCGGAGGGAGTGGCAGACTCTATGCGGAGCATTGATCGGGGGCGGGCGGGAACCGTCTACGGGTGGAGGGAAGGAGCGGGGCGGGTAGCAGGATCCGGGTGGAGGGGAGGGCGGGCCGAGCATCAAGTGTTGCTGTCAAGGGCTTTGTTTGCTCTGGGCCTGCCTGGCTGACACTCCAGTGTCAGAAATCCCACACCTGGAGGTTTGGGGACTGGATACCTCCCTGAGGTGAGGGTCGCACGCCCGCAGTCAAGTATCTCCAAACTGCTCAGGGACCTGGACCTTGGCTCTGATAGAACCAAGTGTAGTATGATGATAGAACTGGACCCTGACATATCTCTTTCCCAAGGAGCTGCACCTTGGGTGTATATATAGTATATTGGAGTATCAGTTTACAGAGACAGAGTAGTCCTGTTCTTTTAGATGCATGCCTGATCCTCTGCAACCCTTCTATCAAGAAAGCAAAGGTGGGTATCTTTTTAGAAGCAGGAATTATCTTGGTTTTGTGACTGGGTTCCACTTGTATATATGAAAGCTAAATTCCTGGGTTGTCTGTTTTATTTAAAATGATTTGCATGGCTGGGTTAGTAGAGCGGGTAAGGCACTTGCCTTGCAGGTGGCCAACTCTGGTGGGTCCAGGGTACCCCATATGATCCCCCAAGCCTGCCAGGAGTGATCTCTGAGCACAGAGCTAGAAGTAAGCCCTGAGCACAGCCAGGCATGGCCCCTGAGCTCTGCCAAGTGTGGTCCCAAAATAGAATAACCTCCCCACCCCTGAAAAAAGATTTCCTTGATTTATTTTTGAGGTAGCGCTGATTTATAACATTATTTTGGTTTTAGAGGTATAGTATTATAAAGCAAATTTATATGCTACATCTTATTTACCACCCAAAGTCAGGTTTTTTCATCAACTTAAACATACAGTTGACCCCCTTTAACCTGATTTTCTTTTTCTTTTTTGGCTGGGGCGATAGCACAGTGGGTAGGGCATTTGCCTTGCACGCAGCCCAAACGGCCAACCCGAGTTCGATTCCTTCACCCCTCTTGAGAGCTACCGAGAGTATTCCACCCACACGGCAAAGCCTGGCAAGCTGCCCGTGATGTATTCTATATGCCAAACACAGTAACAGCAAGTCTCATGATGGAGACGTTACTGGGCCCACTCGAGCAAATCGATGAACAACGGGAGGACAGTGCTACAGTGCTACAGTGCTTTTTTGAGTTACACTTGGTGATGCACAGGGGTTACTCCTGACTTTGCACTCAGGAATGACTCCTGGCGGTGCTCAGGGGACCATATGGGGTGCTGGGGATTGAACCTGGGTCACCTGTGTGGGAGGCAAACGTCCTACCCGCTGTGCTATCACTCCAGCCCCGCCTTTAACCTGATTTACCCACTCCTCCCCACCTTTTTCCCTTCTGTTAACCATTGTTTATTCTTATAGATGTTTTGATAAGATACAACTACTGATTTGCATCCTTTATTAAAATAGTGAGTCTTTCAGACTTCATCAACACTTGCTGTCCTTTTTGGGGGCAGTGGATAGGGCTCCCTGGCTGTGGGCAATACTAGGTCAACCAGGTCCACAGTTCAATGTGAGCTTCTTGGGATTACCTGGGCCATCTCAGAGATATGTGTGGTGCCAGGGAGTGAAATGAAATCAGCTATATACGAAGTAGGCACCCTAACCACTGTACTGCCTCTCTGATCTGGGGCTATCCTCTGTTCATTGAGATTTGTCTCAGGCTGAAGAGATAGTATAACAGGGAAGGCACTTGCCTCGCTTGTGGCTGACCCTAGTTCCATTCCCAGCACCACATAGTCCATCCTGAGTCCACCAGGAGTCATCAATCATTGCAGAACCAGGAGTAAGCCCTGCTGGGTGTGGCAAAAAAAATAAATAGAAGGTTTTTTTGACATTTGTCTTAATGACTCTGGCTACTGGAAAAACTCCCTTTGGGTCAGTGGCTATGTAACTACCAATTAGTATGGCTAATTCCAGGAGTCATAAATAAAAATCTTGGATCCAAAGAGATAGTACAGAGGTTAAGATGCTTACCTTGCATGCAGCCAACCCTGGTTCAATGCCCAGAGCACCACCAGGAGTGATCCCTGAGCACAGAGCTAGGAGTAATCCCTGAGCACCACCCGGTTTGACCCAAACCCCTGACACTATCCTAGGCAAGAACAATAACAATTATTTACACAGGTGTAGAAGATATTTCTTATCAAATATGTCAGACCACAGTTTGAAACCCATGGGATCCTCATATGATTCCTTTAATTAGGCACTTCCAGATGAGTTTTTGGAAATCCATTTTATTCTGACAATTGTTGAATGAATTATTATTTAATTAAAAGATTTATTAGGGCAGTTTTGTTTCTGCAAGTCTTGGGTCTTTTGTATGGCTTGGGTGGAGACAGCCTGTGCCACCTTATCAGCCAGGATATGTTCTGCTATATTAGCACTGTAGCACTGTCCTCCCGTTGTTCATCGATTTGCTTGAGCGGGCCCAGTAACGTCTCCATCGTGAGACTTGTTGTTACTGTGTTTGGCATATCAAATACGTCACAGGTAGCTTACCAGGCTTTGCCGTGCGGGCGAGATTTCAGCTATATTAATCCTGATAATTTAAAGAAGAAGAAAACCATCACAGAGGGAAGGGAAATTCCCCTACATAAAGCTATTGAGAATCCTACAGCGGTAGAGATTCAAAGGGTATACTCAATAGTTGGACTTAATTATGTCTTGAAAAAAAGGAAATTTACTCTAGAAATTGAAATTGCAATGTTCAGTGCAGGAAGTGGAGCTTAAGCAAGAAGGTATCAGCCTCTCATCACACATGTCAGTAACGGTGTATACAGCAGAAATGATACCTACACTAACAATAAGGACACAAAAAATGGGAGGTGTTGACTAAACTCTTCAACAAGGAGAGGGAACAGAAAATGGGAAAGGAAAGAGGAAATGACTGGGATTGAGAATTCAGTATGTCGTACTACTATTAGAGATGCAAGAAAGACGTCTAATTTGTATCTGAGACACAAACTTTCTGTTTGCATAATTTAACTCAACTGTGAACATTGGTGCCTCCTAGCTCCAGAACCAGAATTGACAATGAAAGTTACATCAAAAGTTGCATCTATTTCCTCCCACACACCAGGCAATGCTCAAGGGCTTAATCTTGGCTCTGTATTCAGGTTTACTCCTGGTGGGGCTCAGGGATCACATGGGGTGCTGGGGATTGAACTCAGGTCAGCTGCATACAGGACAAGGGCCTTCCCTACTGTATTGTCTCTCCAGACCCTAGGAGTTTCCTTTTGAAGGAGGAAGAAATGTTTCTTTGAACATCAACAATTAACAGTATTCTGGGTGTTTTTGCATATTTTATTGTAAGTGAGTCCACTGCTCAGTTCTGTGAAGTAGGGATATTACCCCTATTTTGTTGATGAGAAGACTGAAGCTTGAAACTGCTTTCATGATCTGTGAATGGTTATACAGTGAGGAAGGGTCTAAATGTGGGAGATGTAATACAGGGAGCACATCACTACATTCTCCTGGAAGCAGAGTAGCATGGATAATGTGGAGTTCTGTTCTAGGGCAGAGGCCCTAGAACCTGCTGTTCTGATTCCCACTTGCATGTGTTAGCAGAATGGCCTTCACTAACTTGGTCTCCTGCACCTTAGTTTCCTCACCTTCAAAGTGGAAACAGTAGTGTGCCTTATGTATAAATCTGTGATATGCAATCAGACAATGGATTTCATTTTACTAACCTTTTTGCAGGGGGTGGGGGTGGGATCACACCTGATTGTGCTTAGGGCACACTCCTGGTTCAGTGCTGAGGGTTCTCTTGGTGATGCTGGCCAGGAACCAGATATAGTGCCCAAGACTGAACCCAGGTCTCTGGCATGCAAAGCATGTACTCTAGCTCTTTGAGCTATCTCCCTAACTTCCTGGAGAGTGTATTTTTGTTTTGTTTTGTTCTGGGATTACACCTGGTAGTGCTCAGGGCTTACTCTTGATTCTACACTCAGAAATCACTGCTGGCTGATGGGCTCAGGAGACCGTATGTGATGCCAGGCATATAACCTGGGTTGGCCACGTGCAAGGCTAACCCCAACTTACCCTCTAAACTATCTCTCTGACCCTACATAATGTATTTTTAAAAAATTTTTGGCACACAATAGGTGGTCAATAAATACTAGTTGCTTTTATAAAGGTAATACAAATAGATAAGTGAGGAATAGGGTGGGGTTAGCTATAGTAGATAAGTGAGGAATAGGGAGGGGGCCAGCTACTGTAGATAAGTGAAGAGTAAGTAGGGGGCCAGCTATTGTAGATAAGTGAGGGGCAAGAAGATTCACCAACCTCCATGGTTCACTGCCTCATCATGACGAGGGGGTGGCAATGGTGCCAACCAAAGAAGAGTAAACCTTCCATATGTGCTGCACAGAGATGTAGGCAGGTACAGGGCTGGACCCCTTGTATTGACTGTGTTGATCTGGCCACTCCGTGAGCGGCATGTCCATGCACATGGTGTGTGGCGTGTTTGTCAGTGTGCAGATTGTTACAACATGCCACCCGCACGGCAGAACCTGGCAAGCTATCTGTGGCATATTCAATATGCCAAAAACAGTAGCAAAACTGGACCTCATTCTGCTGATCCTAGGAGAACCCCCAATATGGCAGCGTTGAGAAGGACGAGCAAGGAGAGGTTGCTAAAACCTCAGGGCTGAACTAGGCTGCCAA